CTTGGTCCCAAACCTTAGCATTTTTGACTCATCGATTCCACTCACCCCCAGGTAGCACCAAGGCATGAGATCACAGGGTACTCTCTCACACACATTGGACAGAATTATAGGCTGGCCTAGAACTTAACAATAGAGATCAGGTTGGCTTCAGCTCCACAGAGGTCCAGAGTCTCTGCTGCTGGCATTAAAGGTATGTGCCATCACACCTGACAATATTCTTTTTTTACAGAGATTTCAAAGGAGAATGTTAACAACCATGCTTGGGGCCTAAGCACAGCTGATCTTTGAGAGTCACCTTGTCCTCTGGCCGGCTGTAAACAGTCATTTGCTGAGGTTATGAACCGTGTTTACAGTCAAAACAAATGCCTTACCTTCTTCATGACCTCCTTATAGTAAGAAGGCCTTTTGACCTATTTTTTTTTTAAACCATCCTATAATCCTCTTCAGTGTGTCTGAGAAACTATCCTATAATCTCATTCCCATTAGAGGAAAAAACAGAAAACAATGACAAAAATGTCCCTTACAAACACTACGAATAGAGCTAGGAAAACAATGTCCCAGGTAAAGGGGGCTTGCCACCAAGCCGCATGACATGAGTGAGATTTCTTTTTGTTTTTTTGTTTTTGTTTTTTTTTTGAGACAGGGTTTCTCTGTGTAAGCCTGGCTGTCCTGGAACTCACTCTGTAGACAAGGATGGCCTCAAACTCAGAAATCCACCTGCCTCTGCCTTCCAAATGAGTGAGTTTGATCGCCTAGAACCACATGGTCAGAAAGAACTAGCTCCCACAAATTGTTCCTTGACCTTCCCAAGAGTACCATAGCAGATGTATACCCCAATAAATAAAAGCAATTATAAATGAAATCCTGTGAACAATGACTTCAGAAACTACCACCATCTCCCTATATAGTTAGTATTTATATGGTCACGTGCACCCGCCCCTTCTGAGAACCCTGTCTTGAGCATGCACGCTCTCTCTCTCTCACGGACAACATCTTTCTTCTCTAACACAAGTGCTTAAATCTAGTTTTGTATTTAGTCTTTAAAATGATTTATTTTTATTTATCTGTACATGTATGTGTGTATGGATATGAATGTGTGTATCTGCAGAATCCAGAGTGCTAGTAGCTCCCTTGGGGCTGGAGTTACAGGCAGTTGTGAGCCACCTGATACAGATGCTGGGACCTGAACTCTGTTCCTCTGCAAGAACAGTAAGCAATCTTAACCGCTGAGCCCCCTGAAATCTATTTTAAAATCTTTTTCTTATTACACTCTACTTTGCTTCATACTGAATCCTGAACTTTTTTTCTGTGGCATAGTCAAAACTCCTGGCTCCAGCTGAGTGGAGGTTTGTCTAAAGTCACCCCTGGGGCTATCTATGGTGGCCCTGATTCCTCCACAGCAGCCTCATAGTTCAGTTATTCTATGAAAGTTTTGTGACAAGATCAGCTGCATGTCATAGGGCTACCGTTCTTGGTTGTTGGTACATAAACAGAGAAATGCTCCAGGATGTGATGGGCCCAGAACTAGTCCAGATGCAGACATCTGGGCCAGCTGTGCCAGGTAGACATGGGGAATAGGCAGGAGTGTTACCTGGATTAAGCTAGCTTCACTTGAAGGGCATGACTGACCTCTTTCGGGAACCCAAGTCTAGCCAGGGCTAGACACTTACTGAGTTTGGACTTCGCAGGGCCAAGTTATAACAGCGACACCATGTGGCAATCAGGAAGCAAGGCAGTTGGACAAGCTCTGTAGGTGAGGAACCTACCCTAGGGGACATGTAAGCCCTTAGTTCTCCTATAATTCAAGGAGGGAGATGGTTCTTAAGGCAAAACAAAGACTTTCTCTCACTAATGCAGATATGTAATGCTCCAAGTCTGTGTTGGTGTTTGTAGTGTGGAGATAAGCTTGGGTAGACAGACAGTCTTTGGTAAGATTACTTTGTACCTTTCTCCCTGTACATTCTTTCTCCAGATTTGTTGAGCACTGGCTCTAGAGCCCCCTAAGTCAACGGGTGTTCGAGTCCCCGCGATGCAGATCCACAGTGTATTCTCCCAAATACTTTAAATCGTCTTAATTCCTTTTTAAATCTGTCCAGTTGTGGTTTTCGGAAAGAATGCCTGGCTGTAGGATCCTAGCCAGCATAGAACAATCAGTCGTAACCCATACCAGTATCTAACTCATGGTAATCCTTCTGCCTCTGCTCTAAGTGCTGAGCTAGCAGGCATTCACTCCATTGTGCCTGGCTAGACTACCTATATCTAACAAGATGAAAATAGATGCCACACTGTATTGTTTAGGAATAATGTTTTTGAGTCCATATAAGCTCATTACAGATGAATTTTCCCCTGTCCACAGTGGGTTGGGACCACAGATGCAGAGCCTCAAAGGACAAGGATAAAAGAGACAACCATTTCCCCCACATCTCAGCTACCAGGCCTTTCTGCACTTCCCGGCTCTGGAGCTTTTGCAAGTAGAAAACAGTCTGAAGTTTGTGGCTCTTCCTAGCCCCTGTAAAAGCCTGAATCCTTTCAGAGTAGAAGGTGATGGTCCCGTTGGGCCACTGGAGAAGGCAAATGGATTTGAAAATGAAAGACCAGAGAAAAGTCCTGGAGCAGAGGTGGGGTAGGGTGGGTGGAGGTATATGTTGGGGGAATATGGTAAGGATCCCTCCCCTGGCTTCCTGACTGTATTCTCGTGCTCAGAGGTGGATGAGCATTGAGGAACAGCCCCAATGGTCTTGTGGTCTGTGGATAGTGTGGCTGGACCAATGGGTCTCTTGGTGGTGGTATAGGAGAGGGGAGGTCAGATGATAGCTTCAGTACACCAGGCTTTAGAAAAGGGGTGTCAAGTCTGGAATGGTGGTGCATATCCTTAATCCCAGCACTCAGGAGGCAGAGGCAGGTGAACCTCTGTCCGTTACAGGCCAGCCTGTGTCTAGGACTACCTAGTCTATATAGTAAGAGACTTTATCTCAAAACAAAATAAAATTATACACACACACACACACACACACACACACACACATACACATATATATATAGAACAGGACAGCAGTTGTGGGAATTCCCACCAGCCTGGCAGGGTTAAAGATCCAGAATCAGAGCTGAAATGGTTCAAAGAAAGCAGAATTTTATTTTGTATCCGTAGCTCATTTGGCATGGTGTCTGGCACCCATCTGTGAGTGTTAGATGCTATTGTTACCCTTCTGAGTGAAGCCAGGCTGGTGTGACTCACACAGGAGGCTTACCCCATCCTGCCTCCACCAAACATCCTGACTGCATGCTGGATGCGGTAAGTGCCTGGAGGGCAGGGGAGGGGAGCTTTGGAGTGAATTTGGCCCTGAACCATCTCAAGTGCTCATTTTCTGAGGACTTCCCCGTTTTCAGCTGTGAACAGGATCTTGAATTTTCCTAGATGCTGTCTCTTTCATGCTCAGTTCACACGCTCATGAGAGACAGTTCTTCGAGAGAAAACAATAGTTGACTAAAGCTGAGGAACAATCAACTAAAGACCTTTGAGCTGCTGTTACTCATCAATCGGTCTGTGACACACGCTGGGGACACATCCTCTGGTCTTCTAAGAGACCCAAGACTCCCTGAGGATGAGGCAGGAAGAGCTGGGCCTTTAGTGTCAGCCAATAGTATGTTCTCTCATGTGGGATTCCAGAAATAATAATTCTATTAGTCTCACAGCATTGGAGTCAACCTAGAAGTCTGGTTAGATCTGGATACTAAAAGCTTTTCCCTGTTACTTAGACAAACATAAATCAGCTGATCGGGATCTGGGGAGACAAGGAGGCTCCCATGCTGAGACCACAAAGGTCATAGATACAATTCAAAGTATCACTCCTGTCCTGGCCTAGAGCTGCATGCCCTAATCCCAGCTCTCTGGAAGCAAAGGCAGGTGATTTTTTTATTTTCGTGCCAGCCTGGTCTACAGATAGAATTCCAGGCCAACCAAGGCAACATAGTGAGACCCTGACTCAAAAATCAAACTATCACTGTTGTGACCCAGCTGTGCCCCATCTGACTATTTCCCTAAAGAAACTTAATGTCCATGCCAAGATGACACAAGAATCTCCTCTGGAGAGCCCTACCCAAACCACCCAGAAGACACTCACCCTCTCCAATTCCAGCCATTAGGGGCCACTCTTACATATCCAAAGTGTCACTTTCTAGATGTAGGCTTGAAAATGCTGTGATCCAGTTTCACTGCCTGTGACAGGGACTGATCATTCAACTTTGCAGTTTTGAGCCAATCCAGGCCTGTGATTACAGACTCCTGGGAGCTGCTTGAGAGAGTTAAGCTATCCAGATCTAAGGCCTTTTCAGGACTTGAACCCTCAAGCGGTCCCTAATTGGTTCTACTATTCTTGGCCAAGTACTTGCATCTACTAACCCTCAGCTTGTGGACACGTCTAACAGTCACGGTCACAGAACACTGAGGAGAGCAAGGTTTAGTAGGGAACCACGAGCAAACCAGGCCTGGTCCAGAGTCATGTGAGGGCCCACTGACCAATAGGCTGTCCCTGGAGTGGCCACATGCCACGGCCACAGTGTGGCTATGTTGCTTCTGGAATTCATCTACCACCCTCACTGGGTGGCTTGAGGAGAGGCCTCCTAGGTCTGATGTTCTATGGTCTAGTGCTTGTACCCTGGAATACAGACTGCACAGAACCACATATTAAGCCCCTCAGGAGCCTCATTCTTTCTCATTTTTTAGGTCTGATTACAAAGCTGAACTACTTGGAACATTGCTGGAATGGAAATGTATGGTTACTAATTTCATCTTTGGGCAGAAAAACTATGAATTTTTCCAACCCTGCAGGCTTAAGCCAATCACAGAGAGTTTCGTGAATCACTGAAAGCTCACCCTTAGGACTTCTGGATGGACATAGCTGAATTTCCCCCACAAATGCATTTAAAGCAAGTGCTTGAGCAAGCAGTGTGTGGACCATGCTGCAGGCTGCATTGACCCTGCTCCAGAGCTGGCTCCTTACCTCCCAGCACCGGATCCGGGCGAGTCCCCTTGCTTCTTCTGTAGAGATTGATTGTTCTCAGGTGGCTGTAGTGATCTTGGATTCTGAACTGAAGAAGTCCTCTGAACCAGAAAAAAAATAGAGATATTGGGAAGAAGATCAAAAATCTAAAAAAAAAAAAAAACCACAGCAATATTTTTTAATAGACCACTGGCCAAAGACATACACGATACAGCCTGTGGTCCGTAGCAGCTCTCATACGAGGCAGGGAAGTGAGCGAGGCTCAGAGGATATGTGGAAAGCCAAGCAGAGGTGGCACAGTTCTCTTCAAACACACAGTTCCAGTCAAGCAGGATGACTGTTTCAGTATGAAACCAAGAGTGGGGTCTGGAGAGATGGCTCAGTGGTTAAGAGCACTGACTGCTCTTCCAGAGGTCCTGAGTTCAAATCCCAGCAACCACATGGTGGCTCACAACCATCCGTAATGAGATTGGATGCCCTCTTCTGGTGTGTCTGAAGACAGCTACAGTGTATTCATAAATAAAAAAAAAAAATAAAAAAAAATTAACCTTAAAAAAAAAATATAAAAAAAAAAAAAAGAGTACTGGCTGCTCTTTCAGTAGATCCAGGTTTGATTCCCATCACCCACATGGTAGCTCATAACCATCTAGAACTTCAATATCCTCTTCTGGCTTTCATGAGCACTGGGCATGTACATGATGCCCATACATGTGTGTAGACATGGAAGGAAGGGAAGGGAAGGGAAAAGAAGGGAAGGGAAGGGAAGGGAAGGGAAGGGAAGGGGAGGGGAGGGG